GCATCTGCTTAGAGGAGCTTTGATCAAAATTTTAACGAAAAAAAAAAGGTAGAGTGGAGTCTTGAATGGGTGTTTATGTCTTTGCGCAATTTTTGTTTCACAGAAAATGTGCAAAGAGGGACAGCTGTAGACACTCAATTTGATCCAGGCCCGGATCAATTGGGCCTGGTCCAAATGGGTAGGCCCATTTTATTTTTATTTTATATTTTATATTTTTATTTTTATATTTTATATATTTTATTCTTTGTATCTTATGTATTTATTATTTATTTATTATTACTATTTATTAATATATGTATTATTTTTTTTATGTTAATATATATTTATTTATTACTTAGCTTATTTATATATTTATATATATATAGTATTTATTATTATTTATCTATTTATATATATTATAATTTATCTATTATTTATTTTTATTTATCTGTTAATATTTTTATTTATTTGATTATTTTTTTAATTATCTATTAACATTTTTTATTTGATTTGATTTTCTTTTTCTTTTTTTTGGCTGAGATTGAAATATTTTGGAAAATCCTACCGTGAATTTGGGATTCAATCAGAGTCCATATTGGATTCAATGATTGAATCCCAATCCAAGGAGGAGTTGAGATTGATCAAAAACTCTTCTGATCAATCTTTATAAATAGATCCACTGATCAAAGGACTAGAACATAAAAAAAAGGCAGACACTGACTTAGAGAGAGTGGACAAAGAAGAAACAGAAGCTAAGAAAGGATTTTGGTGCGTTAGAACAGCTCTAGGAATCGGTGATAATTTTTTTAGATTTTTGGTGATTTTTTTCTGAAAATTTTTGAAAAATTTTTAGATTCTAGTTGAATTTTTTGGCGAGGTTTGAATTTTTCGGCTACTTTTTCGGTCAAGTTTGAATTTTTTAGTTAGTTACCCAGTTTTCGGTGACTATTTCCAGAAATCGATCAGCTTTTCGATAAACTTCCGGTGAAAGACTATATTTCGATGAAAAATTTCAAAATTCGACAAGATTCAACCGGAGTTCTTCGTGGTTTAGAGAGAGGGGAGATGAAAAGAAAGGAAAAGAGAGAAGAGGAGAAGGGAATTCTGAGAAAAAATTGACCTTCAGCCTTATATACCCTCTCCAAAACGACGTCGTTTTTGCGTTAGTAAACTTATAGGATCGACGCGTTTTGCCAAGATCCGACCCGACCCGAGCGCCAACTCGCTTTCGACCACGAGTGACTCGCATCTCCGAGCCATTTTTCGAGCCGAGCTGACTCCCCGAACCGCGTCTTCGAGCCGTTTTTCTTTCTCAAGCCAAGCCAAGTTGCTAAGCCGAGCCGTTCTCAGGTTTATTTATTTATTTATTTATTATTATTATTATTATTTATTGATTAGATTAGAATTGTTTAATACTTTTTATTTTATTTTTATTTTTATTTATTTTTATTTTCATTTTTATTTCTTTAAATAAAATTCAAAAAAAATATTTTTGAGAAAAAGTTGAAAGTATCAATTTTCTTTGAAAATAAGCTTTCTAAAAAATATTTTTGAAGAAAAGTTAAAAGTATCAATTTTTCTCGAAATTAAAGTTTCAAAAAAATATTTTTTGAAAAAAAGTTAAAAGTATCAATTTTTCCTG